GGATACCTTCTTGCCAGTTTCCATATGCGCCCTGCTCGACGCTAGTCACACACTCCCCCCAGGTGACGGTCAGGTGTATGTAGTCCTGGGGGGTGGGTGGAGAGGGGCTTGCTATGAGGGTGTTAGGCTGATGGTGCTGTTGTGGGTCACACAGACATATACGCACACACACTATGTGCCAAAAAAACACTATCCTGTATTTTCTCCCGTGATGTTCCCCGTGATCCCTCCCCCCTCTCAGTAAAAGCCTCTAACCGGGTCTCTATGCCTTGTCCCTGGGGTAGGTTTTAGCTCCTGGCTGGAACAGGGCTGAAAACCCTTAATTTCCGCCCAGTTACGTTCAGCCTGTGTCAGACACGTCCACTGATTTCAAAGCACTTAAAATATGAAGTAAATAATAATTTAACAACCGATTTAAAAGGACAGCGGTTAGTAATAAGCATGTGTCACTGTGACCCCCTTCTGTCAGTTATTTTCCAGACATCGACCACGACATAAAAAAATTACTGACCACTTTCAGCAGCTCACAGATAAACGAGGGTCTGACCGGCGGCGCCTGGGGATGTGCGGTCACCTTCGGGCTACGCTAAACGTCAAACCGCGTCGCTCCACCCCTCCGTGACAACCACTAACGCTGGAGTCTCTAGCGGCTCGGCCGCAGCTCGGCAAGGCTGTCTCTCAGATAATTAACTCATTAATCTTCCCTTGTTCTTCTGCATCAAGAGCACCACACGACGGCAGCAGTTACCTGCCGGCATGGCCAGCTAGCGACACCCGCCGCACGTTAGCGGCTAACGCTTTGCTTTGTCTAACAGGTTACACAGAGTCAAATGGCAAAAATTAGCATGTAGCATAACACTTATACAACATGACAGAAGCCATATGCTGGCATGTAGCACAACATGCTATATGGCTAACAATACATAGCTGCTTGTCATATAAGAGCATGTACCACACACGACGCTGATGGTCAATGCACAGCCGATCTTCTCATGCCCGGATGTGGCACGTGTATAGCTGATATATGTACATAGTCAATAGTAGAATGGCTGCCAAAATTTTGCGGGCCGTTTTTTGTTTCTTTAACAATACGTCCGTCTACCATCGGAGCATAGCATGTGGCACGCACGGAGTTGGCGCTAAAAATATTCGGTGTTAAATGGGGCCAATGTCTAAGGGTGCTTCGCAATCATGGGCAGAATCGATCGCACAGCGGGCAGGTCTGGGCGAGCGAGGTGGGGTTGCGGGGTCTGTGTGCAGCGTGGGGGCAGGACTCCAGACGTGGATATTGACGGGCTGGCTGGACTTCCGAGCAGAATGGAGTGGTAATTAATGCCCTCCCCCCCTCAAAAATATGAAGTCTTTCACTGTTAAATTGTTAACCTGCTGGGCCTTTTTTTAAAAAAGAAAAAAAAACATGTGACTAAGATAAATCCTTCTTTCTGTTTCTTTTTTGCATGGTAGAGTATAGCCATTAATAACCCAGCTAAGACCGACTGGTTAACGATTGATCGGCCTTCAAGGGTGCAGCCTGTACACAGCCAATGTGTTGAATAAGCTCAGATATACTATCAGCCTCTTTATCACACCTCTTAATTGTTCATTAACTGACTGAGCCCAGTCCTTTTGCATGCACTTGTCGTTCATCAAGCTGACAAAGCCGGTGTTTTTTTTGTCCCCCCAGTGTGAGCTGCCCTTCTGTGGGAAAAGGGGAAAGGTGAATGAGTTTGATTGAAATCGACAGCACCTGTAGGACACATCTGAGCTTTCAGGCAGGCTGAGGAGATGGTTGGTGGGGGGTGGGGTGTGGTTACGGTGGCCTTGGGGGGGGCAGCAATATCCACCCCCTCCCCCCCCATCCAGCATCCCATCCCTGAAAACAACTAACTGCAATCATCCTGCGTGTGTGCAATAAATGGTTAACCAGCATCGACCTGAATTGACCGTGACAGAGGCACACACTCTCTGTGGTTCAATGCCAATTGGCCCATTTGTTATTGGTTCTGACACAGCACCCTTTGTTGCTGGGAGACGCAGGCCAGGCTTTTCATTATTCAACGTTAACATTACACACCTGGTTCTTTGTTTGTTTTCCCAGACACAACAATCTTTGTACATTTTTTTGTGCCGTGATTGTTACCGCCATTGTCCACCCGCTTAACCGATACAGAGTAGCTATGGTAATTGTCCCTAAAAAGGGGAAATTCTGTAAAGAGAACCTGAGTCCTCTGTCATGTGGAGGCTCAGCCAATCAGTGCTTCAATGATCTGTATTCAAGGGCAGCACTCCAAAATACCACAAAAACACAATGAGTTCTTTCATTTTGTAATAATATTTCTAGAATGATATTTGGCATAAATAGCAAATATCGCTAAATGTCAGAATATTCAAACTTTGCATTAAAATTTTAACCAGGTGTTACATATGCCAAGTGGTTTAACCATGTAAAAACCCATATTACCCGTTATCTGCCATTTCTCCGTTTTAATGTCTTCTTAAACAAACTGAATGATTATCAATCTCTGTGGCTGTGAAGGTCTTAAAACCCTAAACCTTTAACACTTCAAAACTTGATATTTAATGAATGAAAGTTTATTTGTAATAAGACATTAAAATGTGCCTTCCCAAAGTTTTATTTGTGCCTGAATTTACAACTCCAAATGTGTAATATACGTTTCAACATACGATCATTCTGTTATTACTTATAATTATTATATTAAACAGAAATGTAGGACTTAGTTTTAAGAGGGTGTGATCATTAAATCATCTCTGTCATTTGGGTGTTTGCAAATGAACCGTGTGCCAAAATACATTCTTCACACGGCCACCATAATACACGGCTGGCGTTGTTCTGGTACGCGCTCACTGCAGCATGTCAGGCAGCCAGAAATTGAATTTCTCGCTACGAATCGGCTCCGAACAGAGTCGCTGGCGTACCAGATGCGACGGGACGTGCCCAAACAAGGGTGACTAGCGGTAAGTGTTTGAACCCGGCCGCTCCATGCTGCAAAGAAGCTGAAAAATTAAAACCCGAAACCTCCTCCCTGCACATTCACACCCCCCCCCCCTCCAACAAGTCGCCAAATTAAGGACGAAAAGCACTCATGTGAGGGAGAGCGAGGGGAGAAAAGCTTTCGCGCTAATCAGTTCCAATTTATCTATTTGTTTGTTTCTTTCACGGAATGTTCTGCCCGAAGACGGCAGCTGGGTTTCTAAACATGTCCAATTAACACATGGGTGCGCGCAGCAAACGATGGGGCCGGGGCCCGGGGCCCAGAGCCGCCGCCACTAATCCAGGGAGATGAGATGTTTACGTAACCTGGGGGCCCCCACCGCGCTACAGAAGAGCCATGGGTAACTCCAGCTGACCCACGGTTCAGTCCAACGGGCTCCCCCTTCCCGGGGGGGGCTAATCATGGGATGCCAATGTGAACCAGAGTTCAGCCTTCCCAGTGCTCCCCCCTCCACAGAAAGCCCCAACCCATAATCCCTAGTGACAGGCATACGGGCAGAGATGGGGCCAGAACTCCCGCTCTCACCCCTCCCACTTCAGAGTCCCACCAATCGCAACAGCCGGGCTGCCCTGCTTTGCTGCGACCCCACGCTCCAGGAGAGGGGCAGGAGCGGAGCCTCATTAAAATCCGTAATCGGACCGCAGAAGGTCTCTTTTAGCCAAAAAAAAAAAATGACCCAGATTAAATTCATCAGGAACAAATGCCAGTGGGGTGGGGGGGTTGGATTTTAATGAATGAAAACAGCCTTCTTACTTACAACTTCCTAACACATTTGGCAAGCTTCTGGAAGGCTCAAGGTGAACATGTCTGCTCTTAATTAAAGTAGAGCGGTATAGCTGGCCAGCCAGGAATGTCCCAAATCCAGCACGCCTGTGTAAACACAGCCCCACTTTCTGGAAAAACCACCTCTATTCCACCACTTGACATTTTGTAGAAGGAGAGGTTCTGTTAAATCAAATCTCAAATTTTTTTTCCCATAAAAATGGCCATTATCAGGCTTTAATTAATTCCGAACGTATTTTGTGCTTCTTGGCCGTTTCGTGAATTGCAATTAATTACAGAATGTCTCTAACTTGCATTTGATGTGGTGAGATTGAAGGAAATTGTGTCTAAGCCTGCCTACATCTGACTAGTGTGAGACGACACAGCGTTCTGCTGTGAGATGCAGCTTTTCTCACGCTAAAGCAAACCCCGCCCCCCCAAAATTCAAAGTTCCTATCCGCAATGGCTTAACATGTAGGGAAAATTTATTAAAGCTGTGTTAATCTTCAGATTTTACTGCAGCTCTGATTTGAAATGGTCCAAATCGCTTCAGGAGACAAAACATGGGCTAAAATAAAATCCAGGGAAATACTTAGTGCGTCTTTGTTCTCGACCTGACGCATGCGATCGTATGAGAGCATCTGAGCAAACGGGCGGACATGCAAAGCGTTTTTCGGGTAACGTTCTGGGCTAATTGGATTTTCACGGCTGCTCGCACTAATGAGATACACTGCAGAATCAGTGGGGGGGGGGAGAAGCAAGAAAGACGAAGGAGAGAGGGAGAATTCTGAAGGTGTCCGGCAACAATTTCCATTGTGTTTATGTGTGTGAAAGAGAGATGGGAACAGCCGCGTGGAACGTTTGGCTGCAGGCGCACGTGAAACTTCGATTCACATGTGACTTGGATGGCATGGTGCCACAGGGCTGCTGTTGAGCGCGGGATTTAAGACGACGACCATCCGGTAACAGGTACAGAGACCTAACCCGCTGAAAGTGAAATTTTGCTCCAGGACACAAATATCAAAGACAGGTCGAGTCTTGTTTTCTCTGACAGTGGCTTGGAACGGCCGGAACGTGGTTAACGGAAAGCCATTATCTACATGAAATCGCATACTGATCCGGATGTAGGGAAGACAGTTTCTGAGATGAGAACTAAAAATCGTACTGAAGACACACCCTCTGAAACACAAACCCCCCCCTCCGGTCACTCCCCAGATCACTCACCGGCCTGGTTGGTGGTGATGTTGACAGCAGCGTACTGCGGCGAGTAGGGGCTCTGGTCGGAGACGCCGTTGACGGCCTGCACCTCGAAGGTGTAGCGGGTGTGAGCCAGCAGCTCGCTGACGTGCACGCGCGGCTCCGTCAGGCCCAGCTGCCGCGGCGTGAAGCGCACGTTGTCGCCGCAGCGCGTGCAGCCCCCACCACGCCCGCCCCCGCAGCTCTTGCAGATGACGTTGTAGACAACGTCGTCGCGGCCGCCCGACTCCCGCGGGGACGACCAGTCCAGCGTCAGTGAGGTCTCGTTCACGCTGGAGATGATGCTCTGGGGGGCCGAGGGGACCGCTGGGGGGGGAAAGGAGGAGGGAGAGGGTTACAGTTAGGGGGGGGGCAGAATGGTCCAATAAGCGATTAACCTGAACCAACAATATCCATCCAGCTGGGACATTACTGGTCAAACTTATCACTATATAAACAGGTCCTACTATGAAAAAAAGTATTAAAAATAAACAATAACAACAGCAACAATAATAATAATAGGTAATGCTTAATAATTCATTATGCATTCATAGAACATTCATACCTTATCCATATCTAAGAAGATATAAGATATGTCCTCCAACCCATCAGATTCCAGATCCAGAATCCAGTCCATATATTCAATAGAACCAGTTTATCAATTACACCTGCCAGCTATTTGCTGTATCATAAATACCGTTTCTGTCCATTGTGCCATTGTGAGGTATTGTGAGTTTTTCCCCTACTAACCACTGTACAGGTACTTACTCCCGACGTTTATTGCGTATACAGACCTCTTGCTCGTGTATCTCGTCTTCAACTTACGGCTTGGGTTTAGTTTGTTGTTCAGTTACAGGATCAAACGCTGTCGTTCATTGTGGTTTTTGGACTTTGTGTTTGTCTTTGTGAAAATAAATGGCTATAGATTCTGCGCATGAACCTTGACTGCGTTCCTTACACAGCAACAACAGCAATAGTAATATTAATAAAAATTATGGAGATGATGACAGTAAGTTGCCAGCTCTGCCGTCCTCCCAGGACACTGTGATCGCTCAGCTCACACCCAGCCGAAAGCACACTGTGGTGTTTCTGTGAGTTTGCATGACTCCTGTTCAGCAGACACTGTAACTCGGAGCTGCTTACGAGGCAAAACACCTGCAGTGGGAAGGTGTTAAAAAAAAGCAGAGATGTGTTCCACGTTGAAAGGGAAGGTTGTTTCCATGGAAACTTGCCCCCCCCCCTGCCCTTTTCCTCAGGAGGACACAGCAGCAGCTGCCCACAGGAGAACTCGGCCTCAAAAGGTCTTCAAAGTTGCTCTTTTCCACTGGAGCTCCATATCGCATTTATACAACTAAAACTTCCAGAGAAGGGGACGTCTGGTGGAGAATGCAGTTAGGAGGTCCTTCTCTATTCAGCTAAGGCCCCTCCTCCTGTCATGGGGGTCTTAAGCACTTGGTTTATTTGGATAAGGGCTAATAGAGAGTTTCTGGATAAAGAGCATTTACAGGAATGGACGGAATGCGGTTCTTCTTCAAGGGGTCAAACTTTGATTGAGAGGGTGATGTTCTTTTAGGGAGGGTCACACTGACTGACAACATGAGGCTCTATATGGACACTAAATATTTCAGAAGCAGGGTGCAGCTCTTTTCAACTTGTGGCGATAACCTTTAAAATTCCTTTAAAAAAATGTTAAGAGTCTGTAAACAAGTAACCATTAGAGTTTGCATGACTGAACAGAAATGTGACACCTTTGGTGATGTTACCAGGACAGGGACCTTCTGAATAGCTGGTGATTTTTCAGATGACTAGAGAAAGCCCTGCACTGTGAGTAATTAAAGAGTGACGACCTATGGGGCACGTGCCGGACGGGGCGGTTTTCTGTATATCACCTCGGGTCGTGACACACCGCCCCCTTCTGGCCGGCTGTGGGTCACCCTCAGACATAATCACCTCCCCCCTCCCAAGCTGACAGCTCATTTGCCTGTCCGCTAATCGGCTCCCATTAAGAGCCCCCTGAGCGTGGACTTGGTTGCGTTTAAGTGCCTTCCGCCCTGGGGGGGGGGGGGGATGTTTGGGGAACAGCTTCGCTTTGGATCTGTCTCACTGTATAGACCCCACATCACATGACGTCATTTTCCTGCACAAAGTATCTGCTGGTCTTGCTGCGCCAGTTTTATGTTAATGTATTTCCCACCGAGTCCTACAAAGAGCATTTTGCTTCTCCCGTGCATCTGCCCCCCCAACCCCCCCCATCCCTCCATACCCCTGCCACCCATCTGGTGGTGCCTGGGGCAAAGCCTTTAGGTGAGCCTGGGGAGCTTTTGAGGCTCATTCTGTCTGGGGGGGGGGAGGGGGGAGTCCTCCAGGCTATAATTCTCCACATACCATTTGTCCTCACCCTATGAAGACTGCTATTTCTCCAAGTGGGGGAGGCAGAGGTGAGGATGGTGATTACATTCAGGGAGGTGGGGGTTGCCTCACACATAGCCTGGACCGTAAAGGTGCAGCAGAGCGTGGATCTATGGGGTTCACTTAGCAGTCATGCAACAGAAATCCCAGCAGGGGGCGATACGTACTGGTGCAGGGCATCTGGATGGGGTCCGAGTCGGTGCGGTAGTAGCCGTTGCGGCACACGCAGCTGGTGGCACCCTCGCTGGTGGTGCGACTGTTGATGGGGCACTGCAGGCACGCCTCGTCGCCCTGGGAGGGCTTGAAGAAGCCGGAGGGACACGCTGCGGACAAAGGGGGGCGACGGTGAGCAAGAGCAGGAAGCAGACCAAACACCCAGCGGGACTGTCGTCTGTGTGCCATTCTTTAATTATTCACCATAAACAGCTCGCTAAGAAAGTGTTTCCCAACCCGGTCCTCTGGGACCTGCAGACAGTCCATGTTTTTGCTCCCTCCCAGCTCCCTGTCAGACAGTCCATGTTTTTGCTCCCTCCCAGCTCCCCGCCAGACAGTCCACATTTTTGCCTGGGAGCTGGGAAGGAGCAAAAAGGTGGGTCCCCAAGGACTAGATTGGGAAACACTGTGCTAAGACGTCGCAGGCATTTCAGTTCTCGTCGGGGTCCTAAATCTTGGTGCTGGTTCTGGGCACCAGAGGGGCTGCCCGCTGGAAACTATCAGGTGCCCCAAAGTGCTTCACAAAAAGAAATCAAACAAGTTTCACTATTTGACATATAACAGGTAGAAAAATGAATTAATAAAAGTCAGAAGACAACAGCGCAGAAGAAACAAGAAGTGTAGTGCTGCCTTGGGTGTGTGATCCAGAGCTGAAACAGAGGCTTTGTGTCAGAAAAGCAGGTCCCTCCAAAGCACCATATTCAGCCGATATGTGCAACTGAGAGGAGAGGGAGGGGCTGAATGGGGCGGAGCCTGATACATATGGCCACGCCCAAATCAAGCCACAGCCTGTCCCACACAATCTGAAAAGGGTTTCAGCAATCTCCAGTCATTAATGCCCCCCCCACCCCCCGACACATCTGAGCAACAGGCTGCTGTAACCTCCTCCCTCCCCATTTCCAACCCGAAATCCCCATCGGTCCTGGCCAAGTTTGACTGTCGGGATTATAGAACAGACCCAGAAGACGCACGAGCGCCAGAGCAGACTTTGTGAGGTCTGCTGAGGCTCCGCTGTAAATCTCACAAAGACAAACAGGACGTGCAAACCCTCCCCCCTCCCCAGCACCCCACCCCCAGTCGGTCCTGCCCTCCACAGGCTGCACTCGTTTACTTCACGATCCCAAAGTCACCCTGCGAGGACACACTGTCCCCAGGATGGACTGACCACTGGAGTCACTGTGACTTAAAGGTTGCTGGAAGGGAATTGATGGAGACCAGGTGTGTGATATCTGCAGACAGTCAAACCTATCTCCGCCCCCCCCGAATAAGAATCTTCTTACCAGTTTTCTTGGGCTGGACTAACAAATAATTAATCACATCTATTAATTAGGAATGATGCACCATTATCTGCACTATTTGCAGAGTACCGGCTGTGGTCCTGATTGTGTCTCACTGGGCAGTGAAGGTGGGGGTAGGGTGCATGCGGAGAATGAGCAGCACACCTTCTCCTCACTCTGCTAAATCAGGCAAGAAATATTAATCTCGACCCCCCACCCCCGCACGATTAATGGCAGGGAGGGGGCCCACATTCGCCGGCCCAGCTTCCCTCACAGTCGTCTTGTGGTGTAGCGAGGGGGGCCGCAGCGAGATGTTAGATACGGCCGGCTGGAACGGGGTCCGAGGCTTGGGGACGGACAGATTTTAAACAGAGGGGAGCTGTACAGGGAGACTGGCGAGGACCAAGGTGGGGGGGGGCTCTGATACTGTCTGAGAGGGGAAGACAGAGACAAAGAAAGGGAGGGAGAGAATGAGGGGGACAGACACAGTCTGCACCCACAACGCCAGTCTGTCCTGTCCTGACTCTCACTTTATGAGGGATCCTCTTCCCATTGACGCCGTAATTACTGAGGCTAAACTGGACTTAAAAAATAAATCTTGCTCCTCAGACAATTTTCCAAGCGGAGTGAAAAACAAAATTTGTCCTTAACGTGATTCCATTCCTTTGGCTTCAAACATCGGCACAAATTAGTATTCGGCTTAATTAGGATAAATCCATCAATCAGTTAATTGTTCGGGGGGCCTTGAACTGTTAAGTAATTACATTATAATTAATTTTTATTTTAAGACCCAGTATCTCTTCTTTTAGCCTATCAGTATGGAAAACACACTCTCCAAAAATATCTCTGAGAAGGATTCAGAAATCCTGCAAATTGTGGGGAGAATTCAATCACCGTGTCCATCTTGGATAATTAACTTAAATTCCGGGACATGTTTGATATTCCTTTGAGCCCAGGAATCCAAAAGCCTGCTTTTCCAGCCTCACCACCAGCCCGGAGAGTCAGGGGCTCTGATCAGGCTCTGACTCCTTCCTGGGGTCCCGACTGCATTTTCTGAGAATCCAGCGCCCCGGAATCGTTGGATCATCGTCTGCGCATCGTCACCCAACGGGAGCCGTTGGGGCTTCCTGATGTGACTTTGGGTTCCTTCCAGAACCCTGCCGACGGTGCCTAATTACAGCTCCAAGCGGTCAGAGCACAGAGCCGCTTAGCCGCTCCCCATCAGGCATCAACCTACAAACAAACGCTCCGGTGATTCCGAGAGAGCTAAAAACGGACTACGGACGAAAAATGTAGTCTTAAGAGATGGGACGGAATTCTGAGCATTCAAATGGGATTTTATCAGCACATTCAATTTACAAGCCCAAGAACGTGCGGGAAAAAAAATCCTCGGTTTATAAAAAGAAAAAGTTAGCCGTCACATTAATATTAGGTATTTTGGGGAAAATACTAAAGCTTCTCTAATAGCAGGAGCCGGTGAAAAGGCAGAAGTTAACTACCGCTACCCGCGTTTATGACTTTAATAATGAATACAGACATGATTCATTTGGAAGCGAATGCTGGACATGTGGAAGCCTGTCGAGCCAAACTCGCCATTATAAAAATCATACGAGGAGTCACTGTGCCAGAAAGCACTTTCACTTTTATGACAAGCGATTTGCTCATTTTTTTCCACGTGGGGTTGACTTACGCCGGGTCCCTAAAACCTATGGAACGGCATCATGGAGCTGACCCCCCCCTCCCTTTTTTGGTAGGAGCTAGATTCTCTTCAAAAGCACTAGGTGGCGCTGTCACAGAAAAGTGGTCCATGACTGCCAGGTCCTTCTGCTCTGTCTCGGTGGGACTGGAAGGGGGAGGTGGGGTGTGCAAAAGCAGCCTTTGTCGTGAAAACCCCGCCCAGACCCGCCCCACCGATAGTTGCCGGCTCGGATAAATGCCACAATCAAGCCAAAAGCAGTTGCATATCCATGGGTAACTCTGCACCATCTCAGCCCACCCCCAGCCCCTGCACCCTGAAATGGCTGGTCTCTTTGTCTCTTTGCTCGGCTGACGGAAGAACTAACCCCCCCCGCTGATACAGCAGCATGCCCATTCCACAGCGCGAAGCCCAGCTCCAATCTGCTGCCTTTGACCAAAAATTGGAAGCAAGAAGAAAAATGTGAGATGTGTGTGTGCGTGCGTGCGTGTGTGTGTGTGTGTGTGTGTGTGTCTGTGTTGGCTGGCCATGGGCACGAGGATCTGAGAGATGGGGGCCAAAATAAAATATGCAAAAAAAATGCCAGAAAAAACTGAGATCTGAGGTTTTGTCAGTAAAGCAAAAAAAAAATAAAAAATGCTGATGGTGGTAAATGTGAACGTGGCCAGCATTTTCTATGTGGGCATAAAAGCTCAGACTATGACTGGACGCTCTCTCGCTCTCTCTCTTTAAATACTGACCCCTCCGTCCCCCACCGTGGTCACCTGTACCACACACTAGCAGTATCCCATAAAGATGATACGCCCACAGCAGCAACATCTGCTCCCCAACCGACAAGACATTTCATTCCAGAATGCTGCCTCCCATCTGGCCAATCACGGCCCATCCTTTCTCTCTGATTGGCTGCCTCAGTCTAGAGTGTGTAGTAACAGAGAAGTTCCGCGTATGTGTTTGTTAATCCCTCTGCCACCCACCAATCAGTAAGCAAGCTCCTCTTTGGCAAAAGCTTGCAGGGTCTGGTAATTTAATTAAGGCTCTATCTTTGCCAGCTACTCCAATCAGGACAAGGTGAAGGCAATTAGACCACATTTTCCATTACCCTGCTGGCTGGGGCAGGAAGAGGACGTCCACTGCCCTCATTGTATGGGATCTGCCCACCTTGAGGCATAATTGAGAGCATTCTGCTGTCACCTGGCCATATGTGATGCTGTCATAGGTGTCACTCACGGGGGTGACAGGTGGGACACATCCCACCCAATGCTTTCCAGGATTCTGCTTTTAAAAATATGAATACATTCGGTTCTCATCTAACCTACAGACTGAGGGAGAAAAGAAAACATTTTGCCAACGATTTTGGCTGCATACGCATAAACGTCAAGGCAGTGGTTCGGCAATGTTTATCAATGTACACACTTCTACGTTATCTTTTAAAAATGGATATTTCAAAATGGAAATGATCTCCATCCACACAGGTGTTTTCACATGTACGACTGTATTTCCATACACTGAAACGAACAAAACACATATGAGGAAGCTATTAGCCCACACTGGGCATGCACACATCGATGCAGCCACCAGTAAACGTGTTTCTGCAAACTAACTTGCTATGTAGCTGCATACAGATCAGCAGCAGGGAAAGGGCCATTGAACACAGCCCCTGTATACCCGACATATCAGCATATTGTTTAGTTCTGTGCAGGGTGACCAGGTAAGCAATCAGACAATGGGACAGTATACCTAGTGGGATCAAAGATGGCCCATGTGATGAGCAGGGACCAATTAGAGTGCTTTTAGTGTCTGCATTTTCAAAGGTCTTTGTCATCTACAATGGAAACAGCACAGAGGCTCATATCCAAAGTCAAATCCGTACCTCAAAGCAAACTCTGCTTGTATTTCTCATCCATGGCCAACAGATGGGGCAGCAGCTAAAGAGCCGGAATGAAGGTGCACAGAAGGCTAAGGGGATCAAGCAGATCAAATAACGGTAATGGGGACCTTTTAGGAAACGTGCTGACTCATATTCTGCATAAAATAACCAGCGTGGAAATGGTAAGTGCAGGGAAATGGGTCAGGAAGCCACCCGACAAAGGTGCATGCACTCGGTAACAGCTGGGAGCATGGGGGGGGTCGCTCTCGC